TGAGGATTGGCAGTGTAGCCCAAGATTGCGCCACTGCACTCCGCGCACTGGTGTTGACAGAGGCTGGGATCATCTGCCTCAAAACATGAAGAAAATAAAAAAAAAAAAGAAAGAAGAAAGAAAAGAGAATGATAAAAATATTATAATCAACGCGATAACTCCACAGCCCATCTGCTTGCCTGGTTGGGCAATTTTTTCCCCGATAAAATTAACTTCTGAATGTGAAACTATGATGGAGCATCAAGCGCTTGTTTTATAAGTAAACTTTGTGTACTTGTTATATTGTGATAGCATTTATACTAAATATTTTTTCCACTTGCAACGAATAACATCTTAACTAGGAGAGGAAATTTTGGCGACTTTTTACCTAGTTTAATGTCTTAGGGTTTCCCCCCCCATCACTACTACAGAAGTAGGCATGTGCTCCTGCAGAAAACTTTGGTAAAATATAAATGTACTGTAAAATATTCCATTTACTTCATGAGTCATTCATTCAGCACAGTTATAAACATCGCTCCATATATTTGAGATTTACTTTTGAGACAGAGTTGTTTCACTTCATGTCAGCCCAGTGCTAGATGATGCAGTGTCATGGCGAATACCTTCGGGATCAACCTGCAATCCTTCCCGACCTCCCAGGTTCAAGCTGATTCTTCCTGCCTCAGCCTGCCTGAGTAGCTGTGAGAATAATTACAGGCGATTTCTGCACACATGCCCCAGTTAATTTTTGTATTTTTCAGTAAAGACGGGAAGTTCGCCTATGGTTGCCAGGCAGCAGCTAGGTTCTGAATTCCTGACACTCAGGTAATCTCCACACCGGCTTCAGCCCTACCCAAAAGTGCCAGGATTTAGCCAGGCATGAGCCACCGTCGGCCTTGGGGACTTCCCTTATTTTTTATTATCTAGCCTGGGCCTCCCAAAGTACTGGAATTAAGATGTGAGCCACCTCGCCCAGCCTACATTTTCTCCTTTATCCTTTTTTCTTTGTATTTTAAAATTTGCTAGCTATCAACATTTGTTGTTTGATGGATCTTTTCAAGGGATGGGGAGAAGTGTGCTGATTGCACAGATGTTTCTTGGAGTTAATCTTCCTGACCTGAGTGATGTGATTCCTTTTCTAAGAATTACAGCTTAATCACTCAAATTATGCAGGTGCCCTAAGCAGTCATAAGAAGGAGAAGATGTATTTTTTCCTGTTTAAACTGACGATGTCGATCAGTAACTTGGACCATTGAGCAAATGCCATTTGGCAGGGCTTCCTGAAAAGCTAGACTCTTACGTGCTTTTGGTGTCTTATTTTTGTCACTGACCCTGGCTGGCCTATTTATCTGCAAAATGAAAAACCTGAAATCGAGCATGTCGAGGGGAATATCGGTGTGTGTCTACTATTGATGGTCTTAGAAGCACTCATCCCTCACGAGGTGGGCCTGCTCTAATCCTTCAGATGCTCACAAGGGCATCTTGAAAGCTGCTCTGGGTGGTCATTCCTGGCAGTCTGCATTGTAATCCATGTTCCCCACCGCTGCACCCTCCTGCACTCTGATCTATCTTCTTCATCGAGCCTTTTAATTCTCCAGCATCATTTAAAAAAAAAAAAAATGATGGTGATGGTGTGATCATGCATGTCCTACTGTCGTTCCAAATAAAATAAGGACGATGGTTAAGTGAATGATGACTCATGAAGTAAATGGAATATTTTACAGTCATTTATCATTTACCAAGTTTTCTGCAGGGAGCACATGCTACTTCTGTAAGTGATGGGGGAAAACCCTAACATTAAAAAGGAAAAAATCCCAAAATTCTCTCCTAGTTAAGATGTTATGTTGAAAGGAAAATATTTAATAAATGCTTCCAATATAACAAGTAAACAAAGTTTACTTATAAAACAGGCTTGATGCTCATCATGTTCACACATAATATTTACGGGGAAAAAATTGCCCAAAGGAAGCAGTGGGCTGTGGATTTATGAGTGATTTATATTTTCTTTTCTTTTCTTTCTTTCTGTTCTTTCTTTTTTTTTTTTTTTTGAGGCCACGAGTCTCGCTCGTCACCGCAGGCTGGAGTGCAGGCGCAAGATCCTTGACTCACTGCAAACTCCGCCTCCTGGGTCAGTGACATCTTGCCGTCAGCCTCTTCGAGTAGCTGGATTAAGCTGTAATCCACCAGGCTCAGCTATTATTGTATTATCAGCTGAGCGCACAGCGCCACTCCCTGTTGCGGGTTTCTCCCCCTGGCGCGCCCTACCGCTGCTCTCGAATACACATGACACTTCAGCAGTTCTCATCCTCGCCTGCCTGGGCCTCCCAAAGTACTGGACGTCAAGCCATCTCTCAAGATTCTAGCAGTCTCATCCGCATTCGCAAATACTGTGTGCGGGCATTTACATGAGCGCCAACCTGCACAGGCCTAGCAAACTATGCCTCTGATCAAACTCGGCCCACCTGTCTGCTTTTATTTTTTAGATTTCTTTATTCATTCTATTATTTATTTTTATTTATTTAACTTTTTTTCTTTTTTTTTTTTGAGACGGAGTCTCACCTCTTGTCACCCAGGCTGGAGAGCACGCGTGGCATCCTCGGCTCATTGCAACCTCTGCCTCCCGGGTCAAGCATTCTCCTGTCTCAGCCTCCTGAGTAGCATGGGACTACAGTACTTGCCACCACGCCACTGCTAATTTTTGTATATTGTAGTCAGAGATGGGGTTTCCTATGCTTGGCGCCGCGAGGGTCCTCGATCTCTTGACTTCCGTGATCCGGCCTCACGATCGGCTTCCCAACAGTGTTGCGGATTACAGGCGTGCGCTCAACCACACCTAGCCGTCTGATTTATAAAGTTTTATTGAAGCACAGTCACTCCTACCTTTGTGTATTAGTCTGTAGCAGATTTTCTGCTAACAAAGGCACGAGTTGAGTGCAGCAGAGACCATCTCTGCTCCCAAGCCTTGAAAATGCTATTATCCTGTCTCTTTTGCGAGACAAATTTGCCCATGAACCACATTATGATTTGTCCAGCCATTTGTCTTCATGAGCCCTGTCTTGTAAAAAAATTTACAAATATATGTAATATATTTATATAGCTATATATTGTACCAATTTTTTAAAATTGTCAAATATATTAATTCGTATAATTTTTGTATGCATATCAAACAAAATATATTTTATGCACTGTGTTGATATCAAAACAATACAACCCACGGCCCCGGGCACCGGTGCGCTCACATCTGTATCCCCAGCCTTGGGAGCCAAGCAGTTGGAATCATCTGAGATCAGGAGTTGCGAGACAGCTTGCCCATGGTGACACTTTGTCTCTACTAAAAATACAAAATTCTCTGAACATGGTGGCACGTGCCTGTATCACAGCTACTCAGGGGCTAGAACAGGATAATGTTGATGGGCGAAGGTTGCAAGTGAGCCCGACGATCGTGCCACTGCACTCCAGCCTGGGTGCGACAGAATAAGACACTCCCTCTCAAAGAAAAAAAAAAAAAAAATACAGCTGGATGGATTTCTTTCTTGCTTTTGTTTTGGTTTTGTTTTTTTGAGACAGAATCTCACTGTCGCAAGCTGGAGTGCAGTGGAACACCATCTTGGCCTTCTGTAACTCCGCCCCCCCCAGACCTTCCAGGTTCAAGCAATTATCCTGCTCAGACTCCTGAGTAGCCTGGG